TCTGGCGTCCCAAGCCAGCTCTTAACCAACGCACCACTCGGCCGGCCCCGCACATTTAATTTTACAAATTAAAACCAAAATCTTTCTATATGATCAGATTATATTTATTGCTTAACGATTGATGAAAAATTTCCCAAATCATCCAGTGAATTTTGGCAACTGCCTAGTACCCCATCCTTGGTGAGACCATAATTTATTGACTTCTACTATTTTTTGGAATGCTGGGCTGTTTTCAATATTTCACTATTATAAATAACACTGGAGTGCACACATTGTTCTGTCGGGAAAATTTCTGGAGATTTACTTTGTGGATGAAAGTGGGTTATTTTTAAGGCTCTTGATAAAAATACAGGACTAGATATTTAAAATGTAATAATAGAAACTTAGCCTGGGAGCAGTGCATGTATATTGAGTTCATATTTAACAGAACGAACACCTTTTTAATTTAATTTATTCGGAGTCCTGGAGGAAAATAGAGTTGAGCAATGGTTAGGACTAAGGCTTGTGAGGGACGCCATCATTCTCTACTGTCACTGGCTCTGCAGGGCGGCTGCCTCAGGTTCAGTGTCACACAGCTCCGCTCCCAGGAGTTCCCGGAGGGTAAATGGGCTTTACTAGCTTTTATAACTTTTATTCTTACTTGTGTTTATTTATTACATGCAGAAGATTGATGGCAAAGCCTTCCTGCTTCTGACACAGACGGACATCGTCAAGGTGATGAAGGTCAAACTGGGCCCAGCACTGAAGATTTATAATTCTGTCCTCATGTTCAGGAATTTCCAAGACCTCACTGAAGAAGTTACTGTCTCAGGCCAAGAAGTCAGGGGTTAAACACACCACTTGGGCTGCTGCCACACTGGGACCTTGTTCTTTCAGCGATAAAGTTGACCCATGTTAATCTGATTTTAATGTCCCCACGGTCATATCCATATTTAATATGGACCTTTTAAATTTTTGTGGTTTATACGTTTAGAGGATGTTGATGACTGGTCCCATGCCAGCAACGCAGTGGGTCAGGGATGTGTCTGGTTTGTGAATATCTTTATCTTCGGCGAGGTCTTTTCAGCTTTGATGTGTTGCCTCAAACAGATCAAAGAAGCCTATACAAACACATTTATTCTTCTCCCTCATCATCATAGAAGCCATTTCCCGTTTTGAAAGCATAATACTCTCAAATGGCAAAATATTATAAAAACAGAATTTATAAATACATTGTTAATGTTGTCATCAGAACATCTGAGCTTGGATCAGATTTGCCATCTGGGTGCAATGAGTCTAAGAGACAGAGGCCCAGTGCTTTAAAATGATATCATGTGAGATTTTGGTGTACTTTACTCAGGAAAGTATGACTCTTTAAAAAATAATAAGGGGCCGGCCGAGTGGCGTGTTGGTTAAGAGCTGGCTTGGGATGCCAGTTCTGTGCAGCAGAGCCCTGGTTCGGATCCCACATGAGGGCCAGTGACACTGCCCTCAACAGCTAAGATGGTGAACAACAGCTCGACCTGGAGCTGGGCTGCCGTGAGTCGCCGGTGATGGCGTAGGCTGCAGCCCCTGCTGCAGTGGGTTGCCATGGGCTACCGTGTGTGGCCAGCAGCCAGTGTGAGCAGCCAGCAGCCGGTGTGAGCTGCCAAGAGCTGCCGTGAGCAGCCGTCCAATGGCCGGCAACCAATCTGCCTCACCTGGGAAAAGCGCAATGATAATACCAACATGGGCCAGTGAGGCGACGTCCTCCACAACTAGACTGAAGAACAAAAGGACAGCAACTTGTCTGTTCCCCTTCCCCAATTCCCCAACACTGTTCCCCTCTCCCAATTCCCCAATAAAATCTTTAAATAATAATAATAATAATAATAATAATAATAATAATAATAATAAGCACATGTTATCATGATTCATTAATTCTCCTTTTTATTCCATTAACCATTGTTTGGTTGTTCTCCCAAGGTCTCCTGGAGTGTGCCCAGGGTTCGCCTAACAGTCAGCCTGGCCATTTAGCAGAAGCTGGTGAGCCCATCCTGAGGACCCTCCTCCAGCAGTGCCCTACAGGCTGTCTGTGGGACTGCAGGGAAACCTCATGCTGACACTGACGTTGGCTAGTGGACCAGACGCCACCTGCACCCAAACCCTCCCGGTTTCCACTATGAGGGGCCTCAGCAGAACTCATTTGTCCTGCAGTTGGCCAGAGTGTGAGTAATAAGGAGCTGTGGTACATCTGGGGCTTGTGGACATCTTTACAGAGGCACACCATTAAAAGGGAAGACCTCTCATGTAGGTGTCTATGATTTGTTTGAACAATTCTGGTCTGTTATCAGGCCTTATTTAAATGTCTTACATACGTGACTCGATCTGAGACTTAAGTTATGTGCAGTCAGCCACACCATTTTAAAGACAAGTACCTCGTTTCTGACACACACCTATAGTAAGAGCTACAAATGCCCCCATGGAAGTGGAGTGCCATCAAGTAAAAGAGACTCAGGCCTGACCACAGGCATTTGCTTTGTTAAGAATCTATGGTTCAAGAAAATTGATTCTGCTTGGAGAGTTTCTAAACTTTAAGGCATTGAAGAAAAAAAAATATCTTCTCTAAAAAGTTACATTTATATTACATTTCTTTAGATTCTTACCTACATGGAGTTTTAATATATTATTGGTTGATGTAAATTTCTGTTTTAGTGGAGCTTCATTTGTTGTTTATTTTTGTTTTATAAACTGCCATGTACAATTACAATTCTTGCTTCTGCTATGTTAAAATTTTAATATATTTCAAATGATAATAAACAAATAAAATAAAACTCCCACCTCACTCCCTGAACGAATATGTTGTTATAACTTCTTCCCATGCCGCAATCTGGAGACTGTTGTTTGTTTGTTTGTTTGTTTGTTTGTTTGTTTGTTTGTTTGTTTGTTTTTCAGCCACGGAAGAACAAAGGAAGCGCTGCATGCATTAGCCAACAAAGAAGTCTCCAATTTTTAGTATTTTAGTATTTGGGATATGTTTCCTTAGAGAAGTAAATTTAGCTGTTAATAACTTGAGAGAGTAACTTGGAAGAGTTTTTTAATTTAAAAAAAACCCTTCAAAATTGCTCATTGTAGAGGCTTCATGGAAGACATGAGATTTGGGTTCAGATATTTAATATGTGTCATTTCCACAGAAGGCTCTAGTACAGAACAGATAATACGAAGTCAAATTAAGGTTGAACTATTGTGTTCTGAGAAGGCAGTATGATCAGATAGAAAGAGCCTGATCCAGGTATCTAGCTGCCTGCCAGACATCCCTACTTTGTTACCCAATACCTCAACCTTGACATATTCCAAAGGCAACTCAGGTGGCCCCATCCTAGTATTCCTCACCTGAGTGAACAACATCATCACAGTATCTTCCCAAGCCTGGAAACTAAAATCGTCTGTATCTTTGTCAATTTCTGGGCTGTAAATTTTTCTTCTACCAACATGACCTCACTGAATGTAGAGATGGAAAGAGAGGAGCCCAGTCAGCTTTTCAAGCTGGTTCCTGCTGGCCCCAGCACCCTGAAGGCATTCACACTTCACCTCTCCCTGCCTTTACTCTCTCTGTCACATCCTGTGCTGGACCTATACTGAACTTCTTTCTTTTCTCCACACTCACGTTTTTCTTGGGCCTCGCACCTTGCATATGCTGACCCCTCTGACTGAGGTGATTTCTCCCACTTCCCCCTCCTCTTTCTTCAGTTGTCATTCTCGACACCTGAACTGTTCCATTCCAACTTACCTAATGGACCCACAACAGCCATGCCTCCCCATCACTGCTCCTCATGCTTTGTTGTTATTACTTGCTTCTCTCTCCCCACTAGCCTAGAGGGTCTGTGAGGACAGAGACCATGGCCAGCTAGTTCGTCACTTACTGTAGCATTTGACATAGTATCTGGCACTTAATTGGCACACAATCAGTTATTTGCTGCATCAATGAATGAAGCAAATCTATCAACTTCCTAAATAGGTGTAATTTCTCTGTAAAAGGAGAAAATAATTCCTACTCCAGGTGGTTTTTTAAAATTTGATTTTATGGATGTGTGTTTGTATGTGAATGTAACAGACATAACAGACATATAAGGTGCCTGACATCTAAAAGTAGCCATTAAATAGGAGTCAGGAAGATAACAGCAATAGCAATTCATATTTTGAGCATTTGCTCAGGAATGTCCTGCATACAAACCTCTTAAGTTTGCATACAGCCTGACCCCAAGGGCCCAGTCTTCTTAGTGTGGTTATGTGTTAGGGGCCGAGGACCGAGTGAGGTAGACCCTGAGGGGACTTGATTGCCCTGATTTGGCTCTCCCACGCCCAGCTTCTACTCTGACCGGTCCCTTCCCCTCTTCCAGAAAGGCTTGAAACATTATGAGTTAAAATCTCTCAGTTGAAATATTTCACTCTACCAAGAGGACCCCTACCATCCTTAGGAATCAGGCAGCATCCCCAAATGTCCCAGGTGGTATGAAGGCCTCAGATGCTCCAGGGTATTAGCCTCATCCTGGGACTCTTCTCCTCTTTTCCAAATTCTCACCTGGAATATGAGTGAGTCAAGGACAAAGCAAAAAGTTGCCAATAGGGCTTCAAGAAATACAAACTTCTAGATTATTAGAAAGAGTTCCCCCAAAACACCACTTGTAATACACACACGATGCTGGAAATTAGATCGTTAACAAGAATCCTAAGGACGTCTGAGATCATAATCTTTAAATGCCTGTAATTTCAGGTAATTTTTGCAAAAATAAAATTCTCTCAACAACCCACAGACATTCAAATAAAAAAAAATCTCTCTTCAGTCAGCTCTGAATACGTTTTCTCCCTCTGTGGTAGGTCCTGACCTTGTATCACACACATCCTAAACAGATTCCAAGAGTGATGGTGTAGGAGACTGGCTCCTTGTTAACCTGGGGCTCTGCATTGTTACGTCTTTTCTTTGCTGAGTGCTGACTCTCAAACATCCCTGGGATTTCGTGGTCAAGTCATCCTTGACTATGGAATCTCCATCTATTGAGTGAGGGTTAAAGGCAGAAAAGTGTAGGGGAAAGTTCCTGGGCTTTGGAAGGAGGCCTGGGCTTGAATCCTGAGTCCTATGCTTAATGAGGTGCCTGATCCGGAAGCATTTCTTAACCACCCAGCAAAAGACCAGCTTGCCATTTCTACGCATTTCTTTTGAAGCGTTGAATTCTGATTGCATTACATTTTGCTTCATGTTATTTTAAAGAATATTCAGTTTGTCGTTGCAACTCCCAGGGCTGAAAAACATATTCTTGAATGTGAAATGTTCCTATGAATATATTCTTAATATTCAAGCACGTATTCTTCATGAATAATTTCTCTTATAAATTCTTCTTAAAAACATATTCTCCTTATAAATATATGTATGAGGAATCTATTTGTTAATAGATCTTTGAATATTCAGAATCCTTATAAATATATTCCTCCTATGAATAAATATATTAATGAAAAATATACTGACAAGAAATAGTTCTTCAAAAATATATTATTGCTATATTCTCTCTGCCCTTCAGTTTCTAGCTACAGTAGGGAGCTGGGACAACCAAACTTAAAATGCTGCTGTGAAGACAAAAGGAAAACTGGTCAGGTAAACTGAGTTAAATGAGTAAACTTGCTGACTGAGCAATTTGGTGAATTGGTGACCACAACTTGATTTCTCAGTGAGCTTGTAACGGTGACGCTATATCTTCTGTTTTGAGATTTAAACCTCCGGTGCAATTTGTCTCGACAGTGTGGTTTGGCTTGGGACTTTTTTAAAGTTTAAAGTTTTTCTTCTCTTTGCTGTTCTACCCTCCCACCAAACCTTAATGACTCCGTATACTATACATTTCTTATGCACACCAGTGTCAACGGTTCTGTTTACTTCCGGCCATGTGCATGCCTGGCCAGCCTCTGGGAAGCGCCTTTTTCCTGGAGTTGCTTGGCCAACTTCTCCCTTTGCTCTGCCCCTCGTGTGTCTATAAAACATTGTGGCAGTATTAAGAGCAGGAAAGCTGTCTTTGTGACAAGGAGTCCATTGTCTTCCCTTAATGCTGGCATTTTGAAATAAACCTGGTTTTCTTTCCACCAACCTTGCCTCTCGAGTTTTGGCTTTTGTGAAGCGAGCAGCCAGACCCTTTGCAGGGTAACAAGATTACTTGCTTCCTAGTCTTTGCACCCTAAATCCCTTTCAGGCAGGTGATGGGTTTTGAATTCAGTGATCAATCAAACACAGCCCAGCTGCCACTGCCGAATACCTGGATGCCTGAATGCCCAGATTCCCGAATGCCTGGGCTGGGATGCACAGGGGAATCCAGAGGGCTTCAAAGGCAGCCGTGAAGACTCAGTGCTTGAGTGACAAGAGCGGAGGACTACGGGC